ATGCCCGATGGCAAGCAAGCAAGCAAGCAAGGAAACAAAGTCATTATAGCACTAATAGTAATAAATTCATATAATGATAGTGATCTGAAGGTACCTTTACTCATTTAGAAGTACTTTTCTCCCAGTGAGGAAGTTTCTTAAAACAGGGAACTTGTCCATCTGGCTCACTCTTTAACCTCTGGTGTCTGAACAGGGTCTGGTATATAGAAGAGACTAGACAGACAGCAGTCAAATGAACCACTGAAGGAGAAAGGAATGCCATCTGAAGCTGTAAGTCTCCTTTACAAGACAGTCAGCAATAATTGCTATCGGGTGCCAAAGGAGGTCTGAACAACTCATAGGATTTAAGAGCAGAATAAACGGGTAAAGACAGGAATATGCTGGGCACAGCTGAGGAATGTGAATATGCAACCTGGCGATGAAGCTGGGACTGACCCTCAAATTCTGGGTTATGCTGCATGGAACATGGAGCTGATACCAGCTTGGCAATCGCTATCCCAGCAGAACAGGGATGGTTCCTAACATGCTGAGGACTGCTGAACAGTAGCTTCATCGTGCCTTTACCAAGAAGTGTATCCAAGGCACAGCTAGGCTGAAACACAAAGCTGAGACCCGTGAAGACTGCTCTGGACCTGGTTTCACGGGGTCAGTGCTTCATTTCCGCAAATGACTGGGTGCTAGAGTCAACCGTAGTTCTAACAAATGATTAACTTTAGAAGTTCCTCTGCACAAACCGCAGCTCTTAAATCTCAAATAGGGCAACATCCTATCTGTAAATTTTACAGGTTTTCTTATTAATAAGCTTTTCCTCTATCTGTACCCAAATATCGGCTAAATAACCGAGAGAATCTCAGCAATTTATCTGAGCATTTAAAGAAAATTCAAGGATTTTAACTTGTGAAAACTGTAGTAAATTATTCTCTACATTACATTTACTTCTCCATAGCATATAAAGGTGGCTTCTGTTTTAAATCAGACATTGATGGCACAAAACGTTTTGTTTCTTAATGCAAGCTGTTTGGTTTTCATCTCTGTAAGTTAAATAAAGAAGTGATCTCAATGTCTACAGCTGTCTCTTATGCTCATATCCTATGTGCCAAGCATAATATATTTACACTTTTCAAACATCTTTTCTAACCCTCATAATAACGGTTTAGGTAGATAATATTATCCCCATTTCACAGTTGAGGAAATTGAGGCTCATATAATTTAAATGACTTACAGGTCTTATACTGTGAAGGGTAGGGTGGGGCGGGGAACAAGGAGCCCCCATATTAGCATAAAGCCTGACAATCAGGCTGCAGGTGATTTAGAGAGAGGCTAGGCTATTAATATCTGGGTCAGAACAGGACAGGGGGCAGGAACCTACACAGAAGTTCAGTTCTAGGACTTGAAGTCCATGGAGTAAAGAAAAATGGGGTGAGGTAGACAGAAGGGGATGCTGAAGCAGATCTTGCTGGCCCTAAGGGAAGCCTTGGGCTCAAGGCAGAAGTCTGAGTCTCAGGACTAAGATGTGAGGCTTGGGCAATGCCAGGGTGATTACTCTTGGCCCTACCTGGCATGAAAAAGAGACAACCTACCTGCTGCTTGTCTCCAGTTAGGTGTGCAGTGCTGAATCTTAATGTAAAGTGATCAAAGTATCAAATTCCAAAGTTGGGGAAAACAGGGGAAATGAAGCAGGAACTGGTAGGGGGTGCATAATGTGGTCTGTAATTGCATTATTTAGTTTAATCAAACATGATATTAATTATAATATTAATAGATGCACGCACATTTACATGCATATGGGTATAAACCACCAAACTCAAGGGAAAAGGAAGAAGGGAAAATGATAAGGGCCCTAAGGATGGGATTCCCTGGCAGGTCTTTCTTCTTTGCCCCCTCTCTGATTAACCTGCTCATTTTTTTTTTCTTTTTAAAAGCCATGTTTATGTGCAACTTGGATCTGTCCCATATTTTTCACACTGCCCTATATTCAACATAGTGAGCATGAATATTAATCAGGTGATTTCTGGTAATTAGTTTCCTCAGTACAATGTTCATTTTCTTTGCGTTTTGATGAATCAATAAAGTGGTAAGTTATCCCAGTCATAACATAAATGACCCTGCCAAGAGGAATCCATCTAGAAAAACCTGTTGTCAGTGTAATACGGCAGGCTTCTTTCTGAAAAGTTTGGCACATCCTGGAAGAGCACCAGCTGATGATAGACTTCCAAGGTCAGCAGTAAAAAGTCACCGAAAATGGCATGAGTGTAGATATTGCAAAAGATTCCAGTGCTGAGAAAGCTTATTTAGAAAGATGATGTGGGCAGTCTCCATGCCAAAACAGTATATGGAAATTGATCACAAATTTAGTTTTAATTTTTAAGATCACTCTCTCTCTTTCCTCTTCTCTCTCCTCATACTCTTTTTTTTTCTCCTTATTTTATGCATAAAAATGCAACCAGCCTGAACTAAAGCAAATTGGTTTAATTCCCTGGAGGGAGCACGAACAAATTTTCCCAGCAACTTTCTACTAGAGGCATTTGTGTGTGAGTATGCGAATGGAATGTGAAGCAGTCAGCTACATAAGCCAGTAATCAAATGAAACATTACCCATTTCAAAATGCCCTAAAACAGCATTAGTATACCCAATTAAAACACTGGACATGGAAGAAAGGAATAAGGAGAAAAAGAAGGCGGGGGTGGGGGGTGGGGGGAAGTGACTATTTGTGTGGGGTGTATGTGTGCTGCAGGAGGTGAAGGTGGTATTTAGGGAGGAGTCAAATCTCCGGGAAAGTAATTCCCTTTTAAAGGCAAATCTGTCAGAGGAGTGCTAGCAGGAGGTCTCCTTGATGGGATAGAAGAAAGGAGTAAAGCATACATTCAATAATTTCATCAAATTGAAATTTCACCAGTTTACCTAAATTGCCCAGCCATTAGACTCTTACAAAGGCGTTTGTATGTGCCCATTTTGAGCCTGTTCTAACATAACAGGTAAATGGAGTACAATAAACTATACACACTAAGGGTTCGTTTCTCTTTTATGGCTGAGACTTCTATTGAAACGCTGGTCCTTTAAGCACCATGAAGAGGTAGTATGTCCATTCATTCACTCGCCATACAGCTCATCAAATGCTGAGCACTTCATGCAGCCCTTGTGGGGATACAGAGATTCAGAAGACGTTCTGATAGACCTCAAAGAGCCCCCAAGCAAAATTCACTCATGACCCTGTTTTCCATATTCTGTAATGTGACTGATCACAGAACGGCCCTTCTTTCCTGATTTCTCTGTGGCATACACAGTAGCAGTGTTTCCTTTAGGGATGGTTTCCATAATCCCATGGGCTCCACTTCTGAATGTGACCAGGCATGGAGGGGGACCAGCGGCCTCTTCCACATAAGGACCTGCCCATGGCTGCAGAGCTGACACAGCCTGCATGTCTGATGAGTACTGTGCTTTTGTTAACTATTTTTCCTCCCAATTCTTTTCCTAAAAACCTAACCAACTGCTTGAAAGAGAAGAGCATTATCAGCTGGCCCTTGGATTAGCCCAGCTCAGGTTCTCGTCACAGATCCACCCTTATTTTTTTATTTTTTGGGAGGTTTTCGCTATAGGGCGCACGAACTCACCACAAAGACAGAGAGAGACAAAGAGACGGGAAGCGAGAAATCACCCCCCGGGGAGATGGACACGCCGCAATCCCTTCTCCTCTCGGGATCTTGGGCACACACGCACACACACCTGGCATGAGTTTAGGCCACCAGGTCTGGGATTTGAACCACAGTTCACTACATGGGAGTCCAGCAACATAGCCATTACGCCAACTGCTAGTCCCAGATCTGCCCTTCTCTTGCTCAGATGCACAGTGGCTATCACACCTCCCTTGTATGACATCTAAGATCCTCCCTTGTCCCACATGCCTTTCAGATTTATCTTCCACCAGGCACCCAGGTACATCTAATTATCTGTCCTCCTGAAGATAAATTTATACCACTACTCTCTCTCTTTGCTTTCAGTCTTACCCCCTTCTTTCATTTCTGCATTTAAAAAATTCTTTGTACATTTACTATTTTACTTATGATTATAATCACTATTGCAAAAATGGTCAAGCATAAACAACAAATTAAATGATACTATGACCATTTCCACCTCTAGAGACTATTACTATATTAAAAATTTGAACTAGATCTCAATTGAAATGATAAAATCTTAAATATAAAATAAAAGCAGGCATATAAATCTACTAAAGTACACAGATACTAAAGTAACCTAAGGTACTGAAAGCAATGTCAGCCATCTCTCTCATTGACTATTCTTCTTATCCCATCAGGGGTCTTGCTCAGAGCTTCTCTCTCTCTCTCTCTCTCTCTCTCTGTTTGTTTATTGCTATAGGGCATGTGCGCTCACCAGAGAGAGACAGAGAAAATGAAAAACCACCTCTCAGGAGGGATGGCTACACTGCAATCCCTTCTTCTCTAGTCTTCTCTTGGGATTTGGGGCACATACACACATAGACACACACACAAACACACACATACCTGGTGTGATTTTCTTTCTTTTTTCTTTTCTTTTTTGAGAGATTTTTGTTATAGGATGTGTGTGCTCTCCAGAGAGATGGAGAGTGAGAAATCACCCTTCAATGGGGATGGCTACACCACAAACCCTCCTCCTCCATTCTCTTCTCAGGATCTTGGGCACACACATACATGTGCCCAGTGAGTTTTAAGCTGCTGGGTCCGGAACTTGAACCATGGTCAACTACATGGGAGTCCAATGAGATAACCATTACACCATTTGCTGGTCCCACCTGGTGTGATTTTCAAGGTGCCAGGTCCAGTACTCAGACCATACAAATGGCCATGTGGAATCTAGCACCTTAATGCCACCTGCCTGCCCCAGAGCTTTTTCTCTTATTTGAGAAACTGTTTATAGCTCCTGGTGATCCCAGATAGCTTGGAGAGATGCCAGTGGGGTGCTTTCCCAGTGGTCACCTAGCTGTGGCCCATCCAGATCTTACCTGCACAGGTGTGGCGATCTCGGTAGAATCCGTCCCCACAGGTGGACACGCAATGCCCAAGCTGCATCAGCAGGGGAGGCTGGCAGGAGGAGCACTCCAGCCCGCTGGCACATGTGGAGCACCAAGGCTGGCAGGCTGGTTCCAGACAAGGTTGGAGAGAAAAGGGAATCTCTGATTAGCTCCAAGATCACACCCCAATGCTGATTCTCACAGAGCCCAGGTCTGAGGCGCTGGGTCACAGAGAACAAGACAAGCAGGACAGTCACTTCACTAGCCATCATCCAGACAACACGTAGAGCATGTCAGCCATTATTAGAAGTGCCCGGCAAACACGAATGAGCTTAATCCTCACAGTAATCCTATGGGGCGGATGTTGTTCATCCCAATGTCCCAAGTGTGGAATAAACTCAGAGAGGTTAAGTAACTTGCCCAAGGTCACATAAAGCTGGCATCTGAAGCTAGGCAGTTTGGCTCAAGAGTCTGTGTTCTTGCTTTTTTTTCAATAGCCCCCAATATCTTTGCCACTCAACCATTTTGCAAAAATACCTCTTGCCCCTTTTCCTCCACACCCTATGGCAGAGATATAAATAACTTCTGAAAAGTCAGAAGAAGATGAATCAGGAGAGAGAGCAGAAAGAAATGAATAGTTACAAAAATCATCAAAGCAGTTAACTCTTATGGAGCTCTGACTGTATCCTAGTTATTATTCTAGGTGCTTATCATGTACGGATACACTCGATTCTCATGATTCAGAGGAAGATACAAGGATTATACCCCACTTGGCAGATAAGCTGAATGGGGCATAGTGAGGTTAAATACCCACAGCCAGGTTATGAATCTATATACTTTTTATTTTTTAGAGGTTTTTACCTTAGGGCATATGCACTCACAAGAGAGAAAGAGAGAGAGAGACAATGAGAGGGAAAGTAAGAAATCACCCCCCAGAGAGGGGTGGGCCTGCCCCAATCCCCTCTCTGCCATTCTCCTCTTGGGATCTTAGGCATGTACGCACATGTGCCCAGCATGACCTTCAAGCCACCGGGTATGGGACCTGAACCATGGTCAGCCATGTGGGAGTACAGCAACGTAATTGACACACCATCTGCTGGCCCTGGACCTATGTACTCTTAAATGAATAATTAACCTCATGAATCTGAGGTACAGAAAAAAAGTAATTAAGATTTCACCTCAACCAAGTCAAACTCTCCCCAGTAAGATTTTTTTTTCCCTCAGATGTATGAGAATTCTGAAGCACACATGAGTCCTCTCTGAATCCCTTGGTAAACCACAACAGAGGATAAACTCTATTACCAATTATCCAGGCGATATTCAGGTTATTTCTCTGGCCCACCGGTTCCTCATTTGCAAAATTAGAAAGTTCTAGTAAGTGATCTTAAAGATCTATGTTAATTCTAAATTTTGATACTGAATTCACCTAGGGTTTCAATGACTGACACCGAGCAACCGTCTGACTCCCATCAGTTCTCTCCCAGCAAGCACTGAAACACATGGAAAATGTCAGAAGAAAGACACTTGAAGGTGAAGAGGACAGGTAACTTATGGAGGCATTACTACCTCCTACTGGTTTTAGATGTTGTGCACTTCTGCCCATGACCCCCTCCCTGACAATACTGAGCCTCATTTTTGAGAATAACAACATACCAGCACCTCCGGGTTATCCCCCCAGGGCCATACCTAAACAAAGGCTGCCAGCTTGGTAAAATCCCAGACCACAGCTGTGCACACACTGTCCATGCTGTAGCAGTTTTGTGGGATCTTGGCAGAGGTCACAGTGGTCCGGAGAGTGAGAACAGGTCAAGCAGTCCGGGTGACAATGAACTAAAATCAAGGATAAAGAAGAGAACTTGGTAAAGATCATATTATGCCTCTTACATCCTTCAGAAAAACAAACTATGTGGTATGTAGAGTTACACTGACGATGAAGAACAGAAAACTATCTTAGGTATGAAAAAACTTCCCAAATACAAAAAGGCATTTAAGTGCAAGATTTCAAAACACTTCTCCTTGTCGAAAATACCGTGTCCCCCATAGCCCCAAATTGAAATGTTAAAAGAACAGCCTCATTAATGCTTCTATCTGCTGAATGCAGAAATGACTACCTCCATAATATGCAGTTTAAACAGATTCAATAATTTATGGTATTCTCGGATGTTCTTCTTAAGTTTTGACTTGCATAAGAAATTCAGACATAAAACTCACAATGTTTAAAAATAGTTATCATTGTCTATTCAAAAAAAAAAACACAGCCAGTTTTCTTCTTTCTTCTTCTCCTTCTTCTCTAAAATTTCAGTTCTTATGCTCAGTAATTGGGATTAACACTGAATTACTGTAATTGTCAGCAAAGGACTTTTTCTCAGGTTTTGAAGCACTCAAGAACCTGACTTTCAAAGTATAGTACATAATAACATGCTAAATATTTGTTTTGGAAAGCCAGCGAGTCACGGTGGTAAAGGTAATGTGATTAAACCATAAGGTTGCTTTGCTTTTCCCTTAATAAACTCTTCAGAGAAATACTGTGATTAGCCAAAGTAGGTTGAGTGTAATAAGAGCAACTGCCAATATGAGAAAATCATGGCCTGTAGATGAAAACAATTAATTATAAAATATGAATGGAAGAAAATGCCACTTTTCCAAGAGAGACTAACCTTATGAGCAAATTACAGCTCAGCCAAAGCAACTTCAGTGCTTGCCAACAATTATTAACTGGAACTAATTCAACCCCAGGTGATTTGAAAGCAGAATTGCAGAACAAGTAGATAAAATTTTCTTTTGGAAGAAATTAATGAATCTTTAAACTTAAAAACCCATTTGAGAACTCCAAAAGGAATCATCTGTCTAATAGATCACCTTAAAAAAACAAAGTCCGTAACAAACTTGAAGCAATTACATTTCTAACAATGGAAGACATAGGTTTGCCATTATGTTTTCAAACATGTCATTTGATTTTCACAGTAGTTTTATAAGGTAGATAAGGCATATTTCATCAACAAGAAAATTAAGATTTAGAGAGGGTCAATGGCTTGCCTAAGGACACGTATTAATAATCAGCTGAGTGTCAGAACTACATGGACAAAGGTTAATAAGCATCACATGTTAGAAAAATTAAGCAGAAAAAAATGAAAGCATTGGGTGACTAAAGGAAATAAGTCAGTGGGGAAAGAGGAGCTCTGAATTTTTTGGCAGTAAGATGTCTTAGTGGAAATACGTGGACATGGACCCACCTGACGTGCAATCTGGACAGCACTGCCCCTTCACCACCAGGGCTAGTGTGGCCACTGGACACGGAGCACAAGAGGGCTCATAGCAAGTCACCTGAGCCCCCTGGCACTCGCACACCTTGCAAGGACCGCCTTCCCACTTCTCTCCCTCCTACACAAAACAGAAAAGAAAGACTTTGTCGTCAGGATGCAGTGATTTTTTTTTTTAATTTCTAATTTATTTTTAAGTTTGTTTACATTTAATCACATGTATTTACAGTCCATATTTCTTTTTCTGACACAAATACCGTGTATGCCAGTCAAGACGAAGATATTACTATATACATTATCATCAGCAAATAGCTTCTCATTTTTTGCCAGTTAAGCATACTTTCGTGAGTTTTTTCCTTCCCCTTTCCCTTCCCTCCCTTCCTTACGAAACCTTTTATTTTCCCCCACATTTTATTGATTCACGAAAGATCTTAAAGTATGGACAAAGCTAAAGTCTAGTGAAAAGTGAACTGTAATTTTCCTCTGAAACATTTTTTTCCCTCTCTCTCCAGTCCCCCTTTTACTAAGGAGAGGTATAAACTAACTTATTTGCAAAAAAATGTGCCCTATAGCAAAAAAAAAAAAAAAAAAAAAAAAAAAAAAAAAAAAAAAAAAGGGTCTGCTGTTTGCACAAAGCCCCATAAGAACTCAATTTCTGATGCAAGGCAACAGATACTATCGTATTGTTGAACTTAGACAAATAACCATTCTGCCATAGAATAAGAATGCTCCCAAATATTTTCCAAATGCAAAGGAGTCAATAAGGAAAAAAAAGTTTATGTTTCAGTTAAAAAACGTTTTTTGACAAACTGCTGATCCTATCAACAACTAAAAGGAAAACAAAAATCCTTAAATCTGGAAGACAAAGCATAGAAGAAAATCAGTAATGTTTTAGAAAAAAGTCATAGAATTCTATTTCACCAGTTCAGTCTTACGTAATCTCTCTTTTACAGAATTTGCAGTGTTGCTGTGGTCTGAGCTTTCTTTTAACATTCAACATTATTACTGATATTTCAGAACTTGTCCCTACCATTAAGTTGGCCTTTTACTTGGTCATTTTTTGTTCTCTTATTTGTCTGTCCGTCTTTAGTTTTCCTGGTATAATGCTCCCTTTAGAAATCTCGGAGAGCTGATCTGGTGTTGGTAAATTCTTTCAGGTTTTGTTTATCTGAGAATGTTTTTCTTTTCTTCCCATATGAAGGATAATCTTATTGGATATAGTATTTTTTGGTTGAAATTGTTTTTCACTTAACACTTTGAATATATTTTTCCATTCTTTCCTTGCTTGCATTGTTTCCAACAAGAGGTCTGATGTTAGCCTGATGGGATATCCTTTGAAAGTAACTTGACGTTTTTCTCTTGCCAATTTTAGTATCTTGACTCTGTCTGTGGTTTTGGTCAATCTGGCTATGATGTGCCTTGAAGAAGGTCTTTTTGGATTGATTCTATGTGGGGTCCTTTGTATTTCTTGTGTCTGGATATTTGAATGCCTCTCTAGGTTTTGATTTTCTTGCAGAATTTCATGAAATATATTATCAATGCCCTGATTAGTTTCTTCACCTTCTGGGATACTGATTATCCAGATGTTTGGGTGTAATGGTATCTAGCATTACTCGTATATTATTTCATTTTGGGGGGTTATTTTCTCAGTCTTTATGGTGAATTTTTCTAGATCAGAGGTTCTGTCTTCTACATCTGAGATTCCATCTCCTACATGACCTAATCTTCTAATACTTTCAAGGGAGGTTTTTATTTCCTGTATTACAGCCTTCATCTTTAACAGTTTCCTTTGATTCTTTTTTTTGGTGTGTATTTCCTCTTTGAGATCGTGGAAGAACTTCCTCACCTCCTGGAACTTGTCTCTTTTCCCATGCATTTTCTAGAGTTTATTGTTTCTCTTCTCTTGCATCTCTGTTAGCTTTGTCACTGAATATCTTAAATTCTTTTTTTGACAGTTCCACGAGTTGCATTGTACTGTCTGTGGATGATGAAGGGCTATTCTTTCCCCTTGGAGGAGAGATAATTTCTTGATTTCCCATATTTCTTGTGCCTCTGTGGTGATTTCTGGTCATCTGATGGATTATGCGTTACTTCCTAACTTCTTGAAGTTAATTCTGAGTGTTGGCAGCGTGCAGAAGGAGATAACCTGGCTTTTGACTGGGTGTTGAGTCAGAAGGAGAGGTTTAGGGCCGAGGCTTTCTGGTTAAAGGGGCAGGGTTAGGCCCACCGCAGATGCATATGGATTCTGGCTTTGTGCTGGGTGTTGGGCTGGAAGCAGGGTGCAGTGATTCAGGAGTTTGCTGGTGAAGAACTTATCATTTCCATAAGGACAAAGTGAAAGCATCTCATCAGTACCCTGCCAAACATAACTTTGAAATGATAAGGGATCAGCAAATAGTGTAGTGGTTATGTCACTGAACTCCGACACGGTCAACCGTGGTCCAAGTCCCAGACCCAGTGGCTTAAAACTCATGCTGGGTCTGTGGCCCTGCATGCCCAAGATCTTGGGAGGAGAATGTAGGAGAAGGGATTGCAGCATAGCTATCCTCCCTGAGGAGGGAAGGTTAATTTCTCACTTTCTCTTTCTCTCTGTCTCTCTCTTTCTAGCAAGTGCATGCGCCCTGAGGCAAAAACCTCTACAAAAATAGAAAAAAAGAAAGAAAGTAGGAAGGAAGGACAATAATGGAGATGCTCTAACTTGAAAAGAACAAAAATTTCTCCTCTATTTATAATATTTTTTTTTAGGATTTTAAAAATTTATTTATTTGCTTATTGTTAAAGCTTAACAAGTTTTTTTTTAATTAACAAATAAAATAGTATCTATTTATAATGTAGAACATTGTGGAATAGTTCAGTCTGGCTAATATACAAATCCATCACCTCACTTAGTTATCATTTTGTGGTGAAAACACTCAGCATCTAAACCTTTTACATTTTTCAAAAATACAATGCATCATTATTGGGACCAGCATAATGGCTATGTCGCTGGACTCCTACGTAGTCGACCGTGTTTCGCGTCCTGGACCCTGTGGCTTAAACTCATGCTGGGCACGTGTGCGTGCGTGCCCAAGATCCCAAGAGGAGAATGGAGAAGGGATTGTGGCATGGCCATCCCCCCTGGGAGTGATTTCTCACTTTCTGTCTCTCTGTCTCTGTCTGGCGAGCGCACGCTCCCCGTAGCAAAAACCTCTCAAAAAAAAAAAAATACAATGCATCATTATTAAGCATAGTCAGTGTGCAGCACCACAGAGCTCTGAATTTGTTCCTCCAATTTAAGCGTAATTAGATTTCTCTTGACCAAAAGCTCCTCATCCCCCTTCCTTTCCCCTCTAACAACCCTAGACTCTGGCAACCACCATTCTACTTTCTGCTTCTATGAATTCAACTTTTTAAAAGTCTACTCATGAGTGAAATTATATGATATTTGGCTTTCAGTGACTACTTTATTTGATGTTCACAAATAACAGTATTTCTTCCTTGTTATGGTTGAATAGTGTTCCACTAGATACATATTCACCACCTTTTCTTTTTTTTTAAGTTTTTGCTCCAGTGTGCATGTGCTCACCAGAGAGACAAACAGAAAGAGAGGTAAAGGGAAAGTGAGAAATCACCTGTCAAAGGGGATGGCCACACTGCAATGCCTTTTTCTTCCTTCTCCTGTCAAGATTCTCAGAACAGAGTGAAGTAAGCCAGGTTATGAAAGAAAGATATTGTATGTATCCACTCAATATACACCGACTATCTGCACTCTATGATAGAGAGCAAAAAATTGGAGGACACAAAAGCAGTGAAGGTACTTAATGAGAATAGGACAGTGTGGAATAGGGGAAGTGAAGAGAAGAGGATAGAGAAGGACGTTAGTGAGAAACAGATAGGGCTTATTAACTGTTGATGATGACATGTATAGTATTCTCAACTGGATTGGTCTGAAAAGTATTTCATGATGGGCAAAGTATTTTTACAAGCAAAATGAGAAATAGCGATTGACTGTTTTAAAAAATAATTAGAATAATAACAATAATGATTGGGGAAAACATAGAAAAGATATTGAATTATTGAATGTTGAAGTGGGGAGATTAATTTCTCTGTACTGACTGACATGCATGGCATTCCCTTGTGAAAAAACAATGTAATACACTGTAAAGTTATATGTAATCCAATGTAATATAAAGAAGATTATGATGATAATAAAAAATAAAAAGAAAAAAATTCTCAGCATACATGCACATATGCCTGGTATAATTTTCTTTTTTTTTCTTTTTAATTTTTTCCTTTATTTTTATTATTTATACATTCATTATACATCATTTAGATTGTAAAAAGACTTTACCCAGCATGATATACATCTCAGTCCAGTCAAAAATACTACACGCATCCTTATAAACAGATAAAAAACTCTGTGTCCAACAAATATTTTACCTCTCCATTTTCCCCCCAAATTTCTTTTCCTGCACTCTTCCCCTTCCATACTCTCCTTCCACTTTGTCTCTAGTGTCCAGAAGAATTTTTAATGCTTTTATGTCCTCCAGTCTTTCAATCTCTACCATAGAGTGTGGACAGTCAGTATATGTTAAGTGGAGACATACAATGTCTCTCTTTCATAGCCTGACTTGCTTCACTCAGCAACAAATCTTCCATATCTGTCCACTTCCTATCAAATTCTAGGGCCTTGTTGTTTTTTATGGTTGAATAATATTCCATGGAGTATATGTGCCACACTTTTTCAATCCATTCATCTGTTTGTAGACATTTGGGTTGGTTCCATGTCTTAGCAATCTTGAATAGTGCTGCAATAAATATAGTTGTGCAAGCACTTTTACAACTGAGTGTTCTCCTGTCCTGTGGGTAGATACCCAGGAGTGAAATTGCTAGATCATATGGTAGTTCTATTTGTAGATCTTTGAGGAACCTCCATATTGTTCTCCACAGTAGTTGGACCAGTTTACATTCCCACCAACAGTGCAGGAGTATTCCTCTTTCAACACATCCCGCCAGCACGTATTGTTTTTTTTGTTTTTTTTTTTTAATCTTCACCATTCTGACTGGGGTTAGGTGGGGTATTTCATTTGTGTTTTGGTTGGCATCTCCCTTACAATGACGGATGTTGAGATTTTTTTTTTTATAAGCTTTTTGGCTGCTCATATGTCTTCCTTAGAGAGTTGTTGATTCAGCTCATTCAAGCCACAGGGTCTGGAACTCAAATAGCACAGTCGGCCATGAGGGATCAGTGCCTTAACCTCCACACCACCTACTAACCCCTAAATACTGTCTTTATAATTGATTTCTTTTAATGTAGATCACCAGCAGAAAAAATTTAAACACATTCAGAGATAAACTATGAAATTATTCTAGGGCTATCTAATTATGTAACCCAGCATGATATACATCTCAGTCCAGTCAAAAATACTACACGCATCCTTATAAACAGATAAAAAACTCTGTGTCCAACAAATATTTTACCTCTCCATTTTCCCCCCAAATTTCTTTTCCTGCACTCTTCCCCTTCCATACTCTCCTTCCACTTTGTCTCTAGTGTCCAGAAGAATTTTTAATGCTTTTATGTCCTCCAGTCTTTCAATCTCTACCATAGAGTGTGGACAGTCAGTATATGTTAAGTGGAGACATACAATGTCTCTCTTTCATAGCCTGACTTGCTTCACTCAGCAACAAATCTT